CAGGGGGGGGACTGGACGACGAAAGCTAAAAGCAGAAGGAGCAGCTACGGCAACCATGGATGACGCGAAACAGGAGCAGCTGGGTGCGTTCGCTCGTGAAGAAACCATAGACGACGAGCTGGAACAGATGCAACTCGCGTCCAAGTAAATACATGCAACTCAGCCATGAATGATGAAGCTGGAACGAGGTCGGGGGCAAAGACTGCCATGGACGTCGAGCTTCACACCCGAGCTTGACGTCGACGCAGCAGTCGCGTGGTTTGCTTGGACTCGAGGGATGTGGAGCTTGTGTGGTGCGTGTGTTGTTGATAGGGAGGCAGCCATGGGAGCTGCTCGTGCGGAAGGGGAGGTAGCCATGGATGGCTTGGGGTGTTTGGTGTTTTGGAGAAGAAGAAACCCAAAAATGGGGGCGGATGGTTTAGGTCCCTTTTTTAGGGTTTTTTGTTCTTTCTTTTTTTTTTCTTTTGTTTTGTGTCTTTGAAATGTATGATAGGGGTATTGGGTTATGGATTGGGTTAATGGGACGGACCGGGTCGACCCATGTTGAGATGGACTGGGTCATGGAGAAGGTTGGACAAATGTTTGGGCCTGGGGTTGAATTTTGAAGAAGTGGCCCAATCCGATTTTTCTTTGTATTTTTGTTCTCTTTTCTTCTTTTATTTTCTAAAACTAAATTATAATAATACTTAAATTATTATTAAGAACTAAATTAAGTTATAAAAGCGCAAATTAACTCCCAATAACAATTAACGCACAATTAAGTAATAATTAAGCATAAAATTGTTCATTTGGACATTAAATGCTAAAAATGCAAAAGATGCCTATTTTTGTAATTTTTAATTTTTGTAAAACTAATTTAATTACTAACAATTGTAGAATGAAATCCTACATGCAAAATGCGACATATTTTTATATTTTTTTATTAATTTAACAAATAAGCAAACACAGACAAATACAAATAATTATCCAAAAATATCACAAAAATACTCAAAATTGCACACCAAGGAAAATTATTTTATTTTGCATTTTCTGGGAGTATTTCTCATATAGGGCAAAAATCACGTGCTTACACTAGGCTTTCTATAATTTTGCCTAAGTATTCTCTACTGATCGTAAGTACTTCGGGTGTCGTAATTCTCTTCCGAGCAATTACCACAATTTACTAGACATATTCTTTCGAACTACACTAGCTGACACTAATTCACCGCTCACTAAGATCGACCAAGGTTTCGTTATACCTAATCCTACCTTTAAAACCTTTGTATTGATCTCTCACATACGTTAGGAGTGATGTTATTCAACAACTATCTAAATACGTTCACCCTCTCTAGCAGTACACATTAAATAGCACAACCAATTGATGGCCATTCGATCAACAACAATAAACACGTAGTTGAACAAGTAGAGAAATCCAACGGCTCAATTATATAAAAAAGTACAAGAACTTATCCTACAAAGATTCCATCAAAACCCAAGATAACAAATTACCTATTCCTAATAGTATGCAAAACTACAATACTAGAATTCATAACCAATAATGAAAATAAGAAGAAGTAAGTGAAAACCCGTAGAAAAATTCTCCGCCTTACTCCTAGCGTGTTCTTGCCCTCCTTAGATATGTTTATGGAGTATTTATAGGCTAGGGTTCAGGGTCCTTGAGTCCAAATCCGGGTCAAAGTCTTTTAATTTAGGCATTTTTGATCACCGTGCTATAGACCTTGCGAGGCCAGGCTTATAGCGCGGTCAGCCTGGCTACAGAGCTAGCTATACCTAGCCTGTAGCACGGTCAAGCTGGCTATGCTTGGCCTATAGCACGGTTTGGGTACTTGGTATTTTTATGCTTTTTTCTTGTATTTTCGTCCTTTTTTTGAGCAACCTTCACTCATTTTGTCTTTCGATGCTCCTACACATAAAACAACATAATTTAGCTCAAACATCACACACTTAATCACTAAACTAACAGCATATAAGATGAGTAATGTACTGAAAATATATCATTTTGGCCAAACATCAATTAAACAACAACATTTTGGTAATCATTTGAGGGTTTATTTTCTTCAAATTTTTAACGATTTTGTCATGATCCACTTAAACTCCATTATGATTCATGCAGTTACTATATTAACAACTGGCGTTTTCATGACAACAACGTGCTCCCCTATATTTGAATACCCACCTACAACTTTGATTGTTAAGCTGTAAGACAGAAACAAGTCGATTGCTGTCATTTCAAAAATCAGGGTTTAAAAGTCTTTCATCCGGGAGATTTAACTAGTTTATCAAATAATCTAATATAAATATCAATTTTTTTACAAAATGTTAGTGCTTGAATATATGCTTTTCTAAAAATGATATTTGGTCATTTTTATTCACGAGATTACTACATGATTAATGTAAATAACTTTAATAGATATGATAAGTTTTTAAATTTCTACACCAAGCAAATAGCAAAAAATTATTCGTACAACAGCAACAACAACCACCCAGTGTAATCCCGCGTGTAGGTCTGGGAGGGTAGTATGTACGCAGATCTTACCCCTATCCCGGATAGAAAGGTTGTTTCCGAAAGACTCTCGACACAAGGAGATGGAAAAGAGGAAATGGAACGGTAACAACAACATACGTTAGAAAGACACTGCCACCAACCTAAGAATAAAAAAAAATAGATGAAAAATGCAGTATCGGTAATCAGAACAATGGAAAGGTACTAGGCAATCAGAGCAGAAAAACAGTATGAACACAAAGAAGTACCACTATCCTAACACCCTCAACGAGGAAAAAAAGCGCTCAACTACCTACTAACCGACGACCTTAATATTCGCCTTCCAAACCTTCCTATATAAGGTCACGTCCAGCAAGAAATATTAACTTGATATCTTAAGTTATATTCTCCATTTTATAAAAGAAATATCCACTTCGATTAAAACAAAAAAACAAGAAGGAGAACACCAAATCAGGAAAAAAAGGTAACTCAGTGCACTAAGTTTTCGCTATGCGCGGGGTCCGAGGAAGGGCCGAACCATAAGGGTCTATTGTACGCAGCTTTACCCTGTATTTCAGAAAGTAATATAATAATAACAACAACGATTATGTCTCGACTCCAAATACGCAGAGGTGGAGTCGTAATTTGAAACTTATGTGGTCGAGAATCTAATAGTTTTAAGTTACGGTTTTAAATTAATAGTTTATATACATTTAATAAAATCTCTAAGATAAATATAGGTTTGAACCAAAGCTACCGCATTCGATCAAACCCATAAGCTATTCTCCGGCTCCATAAATTGGAATTTATTATATAAATCCTCACTGATTATATTTCTTTATTTAAGTTTATCATAGATTAACATTTTATATAAAATAGTATTAAAGGTTTTTTATTTTTATTGACATAAAATTTCCAAAAAGAGCAAAAAGTAATTAAAAAAAACTGTTGGGATATGATAAAGGGAATTTTTCATAAAGCACCATCTTTTTGGTCTAATTAGCCATTTATAGATACCCTTTGCTATATTACGTGTTATAAATACCTTTTATGTTTTTATACAATGTATTTCATGTATTTAAGCTATTGTATTCATTAATACAACAAAAAATATAGGCGTAAAATCTGGAATTCCATCTAAGTTTGACATGTATTTAGCTGTATTCAAGTGACATTAACATTAAATACAATAACGTATCTGCGCTAAAAATGGAAGAAAATAAAATCACATGATATTCTCTTAATTTAACTCAACGAGAGTCTGGTTGTATGCAAATAGAGAGAGATTGTATTGAGGTTTGCAGATACACGGTAATTATGTGAGAGAAAATACAAAAAGGGAGAGAGAAAAATAATATTTAGCATATATGGTGCCTTAATTGTAGGATGTAACTATATTTAGATTTTTTGCAATAAAGGATAAAAGGTATTTATAGGATGTAATATTTTAAAATAGTATTTATTTAAAATAAATAGGGTACTAAGGTTTTCTATAGGGCGTAAAATTCCTAAAATCAAACTAGTGGCTTAATTAGGTTCTTTCCCATAATATGTACTATTGGCTGGTTAATTCAAGTAGTGTGCAGGTTTGTAGGAATACAAAAACTATGCAAATCACATAGATATAATGCGACTTAAGGATAAAGAATAGCCGGAAAAATATAAATAAGTTGCTAATTGCAAATAAATTTTTTTAGCGAAATTATTATGTGACTTAAAAAATTGGCAAATGTGATTAATGAATCGCTATATGCAAATGCGACTTATTTTGGATATTTAATTCTTCTAAATAATAAAACATTAAATTTAGTCGAATATTGAGCACTAAAGAGCAGTTCCGTGTATTAAGATCCCGTTATGTACGGGGACCTGGAGGGTCGGACTATCAGAGTCTATGGTACGCAGTCTTACTCTATATTCCTGCAAGAGACTATTTGCACAACTCGAAAGGCAGCAAAAAAAGAACTCCACCAAACCCCTTTCTCTGTGCACTTTATTTAGTAAAAATAGCACGGGCTAGCCAGTTTTCGGACGGGTCATTCAAAAATAGCCAGCGTTTGCAAAGTTATTAGAAAATAGCCACTATTTTGCTGCAACAGAGACCGGTCCAACATAATATACTGGGGATCAGTGCACCAGTGTATGAACTTCCAGCATATTATGCTGGACTGTTATATCATATTGGAACTCAAGTATATTATGCTGGAGTTCCAATATACTTATGGTGGAACTCCATTATAATATGCTTGAGTTCCAGTATACTTATGATGGAACTCTAGTATATTATGTTGGAATATTTTTTTCTGATTCTGAATAATGTTTTCATTCAGATTTATCTTTACATGAAAAATGGTTAAATTTCGATTACTTTTGAAACTGTAACTATTTTTAAATGACCACTTGTAAATCTGACTATTATTGAATTTCTCAGCTTTTTTTAAAGTTCAATATTCAAAGTCAACAATAGTTACCTTTAATATAACAATTAGCACCTTTCCCATTTGACTTTCTCAAATCTCAACTTTGAATATTCCAGTATTTCACAAAAAAAAAAAAAAAAAGGAGCAAAGCAAATCAGGCATGTCATCAGCAATTTCTCAGCTATCATGCTTCTCCTCTATCAATCGCAGATTACACTTCCGCACTCATCTCCACCCTTGTTCTACTTTTCCAAGACAGGTGTTTTTTCTTCATTTTTCTCCCTTTTTAATGCATATATTTTTCTTTAATTTCTCCATTTTATTTGAAAGCCCCTCAATTTTGCTCACTCCATTATCTTGTTTTCTGGGAAATACTTCCCTTTTATTCTCTTTTGGGTAATTGAGAAATTAGCATTCTCTGTTGAGTGTTTGCTTTATTGTTGTTTGTTTGAATACAAAATCAATGACTTTGAAGAATTTTTGATGTGGGGGTCTTCTAATTTTGTTAAAAATTTGATCTTCTTGGGTAAAATTTGTTCTTTTCAAAACAAAAATAAAAAAGAGGAAGAATTTTTAAGTGGGGTTCTGTTAATTTGGTAAAAAATTATATCTTTTGGGGATAAAATTGTTCTTTTTATAAAAAAGAGGAAGAATTTGAAGCTTTTGTTGTTAAAAAAAAGATAGGAGAATTTGAAGAATTTTTTATGTGGAGGTCTGTTAGTTTGGTTAAAAGTTTGATCTTTTTGGTTAAAACTAAAACTTGTTAGTTCTATGGTTTGCAATGAGAGATGAATTAATCATGAAGGTTGAGAATGTTTTTTCAATGTGTTTTAGTTCCACAGACTAACAATAATTTTTTGCAACTACATTTTGATATTGATCAACAAAAGTACTAATTTTTCCTGTTATCACTGTATAATTATTAGGCAAAATATGAGCATGTGCTTGTTCTTTTTACAATTGATTAGTCCGACTTGACATCTGTCTTTTGACTTCCAAATCAATAATGATTTTAGTTTTTCTATTGCTCCTTGAATTTTAATTTCTATTTTGCTTACTAAAGTGTGGGTTTGTGGAGTGAGCGATACTCTGTATGGTATTTATATTCACTTAGACATCTTCAATTATCATGGAATTCAGGTAGCGGTTGTGAGTAATGATGGTCGTGGCACGGATTTATCCAACTTAGAAAACAGGACAACTTTAAGTTATACTGGAGATGCATCACAATCACACAACGGAAGCTCATCAAATTCAAATTTAAAGTCAGAAGAACTTGTTCCAGGAAAAGAAATGAATGGGTCAGAGCAAGATAACTCCGTCAGTCTATCAAAAAAGACGGCCAAAATTCATGACTTCTGTTTTGGTATTCCCTTTGGTGAGTATTGCCTAGAAAAGGTAGAGGAACTAGTGTTTTTTTAGTGCCTGATGTCACCTGTCCTCTTCTTAGTTAAGGCATTCTCACTTGTTTCATGCTTCATGATAATGCTACCTCGTCTACCAATTACCCTTTTTAGGTTGATCCCTTGTCCAAACATGAATTCTACTATCCTAGAGATTTCAATGATTCTATAAAAGACGTGTCTATGTCGCTTTGATTGTATTGTTTTCATTTTTTATTCCCCTCCCTTTTTTACTCTCTGCGGTTACCAATTAAAGAAAAAAAAAAGGAGGATTATGTTGCCAACCATTCTTGTGATATAATTTTCCCTTCAACTATTACATTAGGAGTCCAAGTCGAGAGGTATGGAAGTGCTTTTGAGGGGGAACTACCGAACTACCTAAAAGTGCAATCGTCTTGTTGTTTTTCTTTTGCTTCTGCAGCATTTAGGATAACTACTTGGATAGAGGAAAGGTGCAACACTTCTGTATAGCTCCTTCTTTTGTTATGTACACTTCTTATATTCTGCAGAATAATCTCCTTCTGGGAGTGCTGCTTATGACCTTTCACAGAGTCTAGACATGAATTAACCTTCAGGTCTTTTTCTTAAACCTAAAAGATTATGTTGAAAGCACAAATTCTTAAAAATATTTAGTCCAAAAGGGAGGAAACATTTTGTCAATGTGGACAAGGTTCAGTTATTTTCTTGCAAAATTCTTTTTCTTCATTGGAAACATAAGCATATATCTGTAGCATATTTCCTTTAACCTCAAACTCCAGTTCTATTGGCCTATCCTGGTGGAATCACCAATGTGTAGCTGGATCCAGAAATTCTTTTTCATTATTTAGGAGTTTGTGCATCCTACAAAATTTTGGTGATGCAGTAGATATAAGTAAGGCAAAAAGTAGAATCGTCCCCTTATTGTTTATAATTTTGTTCTGTGCAAGGTATAAGTTCCTTGTCTTTGAGTTATATAATGTTTGCAACTTTACTTAGGAACCAATGATTCTCAGAATCCTACACATATCTCTACATTTAGACGAATTTTTAATTATCTCTAGCAACATCTCTTTGTTACTAGCTTTGAATCTTTACATGTTTCTTTTAACCGAAATGTCCGTGAGGGCCTAGAGAAAAACTGTTCTTGATCCAGTGGAACTGTTTATTTATCAGAAAGATGTCAAGTAACAATAACTAAAGAGATCAGAATGACAACAAACATTTATCTAAGATTTGTTATCACAGTGGTGTTTTTATTTCTTGCAGCTACTTAATTATTTTGAATATTGATTGCTTAATGATCCTCATCACAGGTGGTCTTGTTTTTACCGGGGGCATCGTTGGTTTTATTTTCTCAAGAAGTCCTTCAACTTTAAGCAATGGTGTTCTTTTTGGAGGCGCTTTACTGGCCTTTAGCACAATTAGCTTGAGGGTCTGGAGACAAGGAAAATCTAGCTTGCCGTTCATACTGGGTCAAGCAGGTATTTGCTGGTTTCGTGCAAGTTAATTCCTATTTTGTGCAGTTGGACTTCCTTTAGTTCGCTGATGAAAAGGGAACAATTTCTTTGAGTGTGATCCCTTTTGTATTTGATCTTATTGTTAACATTTTGTGTCAGCTATCCGTTTTCTCATTCTTTTCTTTGAGCAGTAACTCGTTCTTTTCTTTGAACATTAATATTTTAAACATTAATATTTTGTAAATATGATGGGATGTAGGGAGAAAAACAAATTTTATGGGTATATTATTTCATTTGATAGATATGCTTATGAATGAGACAAATGGATATGTTTTAAAACACTTGGGGGTGCTGTAGTAAAATTTTATTATGTAATTGTTTGAAATAAACCAGACATCTTTCAATGAATAATATATGTTTCTAGCTCTCAATTTCCCTACTTCCTACTCTCAGCTACCTCGTAGTGTAAATATATTAAGTCCATGGAAACATCTCCTATGCTGAAACAATCCTTGCTTTGGAAAGGGAAAGAGGTGAAAGAGGGAAGATATGTTTGCGCATCTGCCATCTGAGGATCTATATTTTTGGCAGCTCTTCTCCTAGATCAAGCCAAACATTCTCGAGATTCATCTCCCACTCTTTGCTTGCCAGATTTGTTGAAGCTAATGAAAAATAGTTAGTTTATTTGTTTATTTTATTTATTTTTGGCGGTAGAGCTGATACTGGATGTCTGGTTAATAAATTTAGTGAAAGAGCTTTGTTGCGAGAAATGAAATATTATTAACCTAAAGGATACTGAATATTGATCTCCTACACTCCAACCTGGCTTTGTCCATTTGGATAGTCACCTCGGTCCAGCTCCATTTTCACTAGTGTCTTTGACAACACTTCTCCATAGTTTTTATGATTTTCAGTGAGTCATGTATGTGCTTTATGTGGCTCACTTAAAATGGCCATGATATGATGCTTCGATTGGTTCTACTGCATAGTTCATTCAGGTAAAATGCATTTTAGCTGTATTTAGATTTAATTTTATGTCTTGAAAAGTGCCTTATTTACGGCAATATCTTAATACACTCCCTTCTTATTTTCCATTTTTACCTATCAAAAGAAAATTTGGGCTAGCATTCGCTATTGGATATCATTTGAATAAGTTAAGCATCTTCTTGTTAGAGTTGAAATTTTGCACTCCCTCTTTTCTGTTGTCTGAAAGGGTAAAATAAATTAGGAGTTTGTTTTCTCTTTCCAATTATTCATTTCTTCTCTGCTATTGTTCCTGCAGTACTTGCTGCAGTCCTCCTTTGGAAAAACATGCAGTCTTTCTCCCTGGTAGTTCCTCATATTTCCGAAGTCCTTTATTAGCTTATTTCATGGCTTGCATTTTCGAATTGATGATGATAATCTTTTTGCAGACAAGAAAAGTGTTTCCCACTGGCCTTTATGCTGCCATCAGGTATTGCAGTGACTTTTTTCTCGAATCTCTTCTTGAAAATTCATTGTGAGGTGTATCATTATATGATTTCTGCTATCTGAAATGACAGTGCTGCAATGTTTTGCTTCTACTCTTACGTGGTATTGTCTGGGGGAAATCCACCACCCAAGAAGTTGAAAGAGTCTACTGCTGGGGCATCTTGACGAGAATCTAGAAAGGTCAGTTTTAATTCTTAGAAATACTCAGGATCTTGAATCAATGTGCAGTTGGTTTGCCAGAGAGAAGCCCATTAATTTGCACAAGTTACTTCTTGATGTTGAAGAGGATGAGGGAAGTTTGATTGTATTGGTCTTGAATATGTATTTTTCCGTTATACTTAGTATTCTAGGAGATTGTAATTTAGCAACTTGCTGGTGGAATTGAGCATTCAATTATCATGTAAATTATGTATGGGATCAGTGTAAGTACTAAAGTATGCTCAATGCTGTTGTGCTGTTGTTCTTGTTCTCAATTCTGTTTACAGTTATTTCTCATAGGATTATTATCTTCGTAACTTCTAAACTTCTGCTGCTGGAGAAAGACCAACTATTACCCTGAGTGTATGCAAGTGTTATTATCGATAGAAAATTAGCACTTGCATGCTTTCAAGCTAACAATGTCTCTGGTTCCTACTCACTTTTTGAGCTGACACCACGTAGAAAGTTAATAGAAGCATTTATATTTCAAACTATGGGCAGGTTAGCTAACTTCGAAGCATCTTTTGTTCCTCTCTTTCCATAAGACCCATAAAGTGCCGGCAGGGTCATTGGTCGAAATTCTTTCCGATCCTTATTGAGATTACTTCTTGACCAACTTGCAAGCAGTTCTTTCACAGTTGTGAGCATCACCCCTTTGTGTTCCAAAGATGTTCGGGTAGAGCATTCTGTTGTAGTGTAGAAAAAGCCATTGTGTTTCTTCACAGTGTTCATCCCAGAGATAGCATCTGCTACATGCCTGATGCCTCTTTACTGTAAATTTCTCTATGTCCATGCATTTTGGGAGGCCAACCAAGTGAAGCAAGCAACTTTAGATGGGGCGTTTCTTTTTCAAATCCTTTTCCAGGGTATTGAGTGTCTGCAGTATAATACGAGTATCATAGTAGGAGTTGACTGAGAGAATTTACCATTCTTTTGACCTTTCCAGATTATGGTGTCTGATTTTTAGGGAAATTTTTTGTTTCATCATCTAAGCTAGACCCCACTTTGTGGGATTTTACTGGGTGGTTGTTGTTTTTGTTTCATCTAAGCTTTTCCAATGGTACTGTCATGTTGATCTCCCAGCCAAAGCAAGCTCTCGTGAAGCTAATTTGCCTATTTCTTGTATTATGCCATTGAGCAACAATTGAGAGTGTATTCGATGCAAAGGAGAAAGTTGTCTGCCATCTCCTAACTTGAGATGTATCTCACGGAGAATTCAGCCCATAAGTTTCTTCTGGGCTCCAACTCCGTGGGAGTAGCTAATTGTGTTTGAACACCAGGGAATCCAATTTTTTCTGTAAAATATTCCTCGAAAGCGTGTGTTCTTCCGTGTTCTATCTCCAGAGCCACTCGCAAAATCAACTTCTGTCGTATAGTCTCAAATTTCTGACCACAAGGCGACCAGCTTTTTGCTTAATATGACAGTGCTCGTATGAACACGCTCAGTAGCTATTAGAAGAATGTGAGTAATCTGCCTCCCCTTCCTCAACAATGAGTTTATAAACAGAACCAGGTTAGACAATTTACGAGAGTGATATTTGAATCTTTTTATGCTAAACTTGTTTTTGTCATTGTCCCGATGCAATGGAGGAAAGACATTGAACTGTAAGGATCTATCAAGTCTCAGCTAATATCTGACCTTTCTGACATTTGAAAATGAGGGAGAGGAAATGAATTCTTTGCCTCCCAAGTTAGATCTTTCCTCATCACTGTTAATTTGGTTTACTAGTTTACTTTTGCATTTGATTCTTTGCAGACCTGCTGTTGCCTAACAAACTGATGCTATAACTAGATGAAATGATGATTAAAATTTGTGATGCAGATATGTAAAGAAGGTTCTATTTGGACAAGTGCAACATCAGTTGCACTATCCAATTGTCGAGTTATGATAATCGTCAATGGAAGATGGTATTCATTCTTCTGCATTATTTCACATAGAAAACAAGCTACTGGCACATGCTTAGACGTTTATTATCTATAAATATACGTTGTAGTGTGTGACCATCTAATCTAAAAGCTTCACTTTTATTCACTTAATGATGTCTTCAATATGCCCCTCATGTGCGAGCTTGATTCTTGTTGATGAGCCAAGCACGTGAAAATTCTTTTTGATATTGGGTGGCGGTGAGACTCGAACACAGGATCTCTACCTACTCTGATACCATGTTGAAGCGTGTGACCATCTCATCTAAAAGCTTAAGCTGTTAGAGAGAACACACTTTTATTTACTTAATTACGTCTTCAATAGTATATTTCATTAATGAGAAAGAGAGACATATGCAGGTGGTATACAACAGAGGAAAACCTTATACAACTTGCTTGGTGTTTTACCACCAAAGTTTTGCCTATGCATTATAGTTTCAAAAAGCCGCGATAGTGGAGAAAGAGAGAAGGAAAATAACTAGATGATGTCTTCCTTGTAGTACAGCACCAAAGTTGGTTTTCAAGACTTGTAGCAAGTTTGCCACCAATTTCTGTTATAATTGACATTGATTTTGATTTTGGTGGTTGTGGTGGTGATGGTTGGGTTGGGGGGGGGGGGGTGTTAACTTCTTCACTAGCTCTAGTTTTTGATCTAATGCTGTAATTTTTTTTCCCCAGATAGCAGAAGAAGAATTAAATACTAAATACAGAATAAAATATGCTGCTGGTTTAATCTCAACTTATTTTCTTGATCTTTGACAGAATTTACTGCTTACATTGATGTTTTCCTCTTTTATCATATAATTGAGGATTTAGACAAGAGGGGTTGCTCCGATGGTAAGCAACCTCCACTTCCAACCAAAAGGTTGTGAGTTCGAGTCTCCCCAAGAGCAAGGTGGGAAGTTCTTGGAGGGAAGGATGCCGGGGGTCTATTTGGAAACAGCCTCTCTACCCTAGGGTAGGGGTAAGGTCTGCGTACACACTACCCTCCCCAGACCCCACTAAGTGGAATTATACTGGGTTGTTGTTGTTGTTGNCAGAAATAGTTTGGTCAGTGTAACATGTTAGGGATGAGATATTTGCATCTTTTTACTCTACAGAAATAGTTTGGTCAGTGTAACATGTTAGGGATGAGATATTTGCATCTTTTGCACTGAGAGACTTGGAAAACTCAAGGCAGTGAAAATTGACTTTTGATGTTTATCTTGGAGATGACTGGTAGAAGTTGGATCCTTTTCAAGACATGATTTGGTAGAAAGTTAGTGTGGGATGGCCCCACGGCTTTGGTCTAGTAGCAAAAGGGCAATGCGCGATGTATGGACTAGGCACACGTCATGAGTTCAAATCCTGTCGCAGTTAAGAATATGGTATTTAGGTGAAGAAAAGTAAAGGAGCCGGCCCATTATCCGGTGACTTTCAAACCATGCGTCAGCTAGCCCAGAGGATTTCTCAGGCAGCCCGGTGCACTAAGCTCCCGCCATGCGCGGGGTCCGAGGAAGGACCGGACATCAAGGGTCTGTTATACATAGCCTTACTCTACATTTCTGCAAGAGGCTATTTCCACAGCTCGAAACCGTGACCTCCTGGTCACATAACAACAACTTTACCAGTTACCCCAAGGCTCCCGTCGCCCTGGAGATTTCTCGATTATCAAAAAAAAGGATGGTGTAGGATGACCCTAATGGCAACCTACTTCATTCATTTAGTTGGGATGGGATTATTGTCAAAATTCCATCGAGGTGCACTTGCATCCAAGTGGTGGTGTGTTAATCTTTGATGTAAGTCCCAGAAAATAGGTAACTTGATATTATGACACTTGTCCATTCAGAAATATTAAGTCTTTCTCAAGAAGTAGTAGTCTTTAACTAACTCAATTGCTTGCCCTACAAAGCACTAACTAACTCCAACCAACTCTTTTCCTCCTCACCTTTTAAAATGTCCCATTTCTCTTGTCTAAAATCTTTCTTCTTTCATAGTTGTGTTTCTTTATGGTGGATTTTGAGTTGCATTTAGAATCTTGTTCTTTGAAAATTTTGGAGATTCCTGTGTGTAACACTTTTAGGGGGTCTTGTCATGTTTTCCACCATTGGCTTTTCCTTTTTCACATTGATTGTTAATTGCATCTGTCATTTCCATTCTTTTTCAACTGTTTATTTGCTTATTGCAGTGACAAGCTTCATGCTACTTTGACATTGGATATTCTAATGGAATAGAATGTTTGGTCATTTCTTGAGTTTTCTTGAAGGACATTGGTCTATGCTTGAATATTTGTTGGGGTTAAATTAGTGATTTTGGTTGCTCCAGCACTTTGGACTAGTGGCACGAGTGTTGTGCGTGATGTGTGGATTAGGCACACGTCACGACTATTGGTAAGCGTGCGGTGCATGATGTGTGGTTTAGACGCACGTCACGAGTTCGAGTGTTGCTGCGGACAAAAGATAGTATTTAAGTGGACTATGATAGATGGATGAGCCCATTATCCACTGAGTTTTTAATCGTGCATCATTAGTCCTCGGGGACTCCTCGGTATCAAAAAATAATTTGATCATATAATGGTAAACCACAAATCTGACTACAGTTTAACGAGATGCAGTCCGTTCTCTTCTAGTTTTTTTTTTTCTTTTTTTCAAGAAAATTTTCCATTTTAATAGAAATTAGTGAGGGAGTCTAAGCCATGACATTAGTTTACTGATTTCCTCGACACCATGGTGAAAATTCTGACTCTACCACTACAGACAACCCTAGAACATATTATAATCATTTTGTTTTACGTACTCGTGTGTGTTCGACTAATAGTGCTAATCAACGACCTTTTGATCTATATATAGTTTGATTAAAAATTGCGATTAATAGCGTTAATCAACAACCTTTTGATCTATATATAATTTGATTAAAAATTGAAAATGAGTCGAGAGAGGCTTTAGTACATAGGCGAACTTAGCTTATATTTATTAAGTTCGACTAAATTCAGTATTTTTGATACAACGCATAATAAATATGTGAAAATTCACCTAATGGAACCGGCTTCCCTTGAACCATCCTCAAGAAGAATAAGAAAGGATAAAAGAACGGGATTTTCTCTTCAGCATATATAAAGAAGCATAGTGTCACTCTAACAAAATAGATGCATGCATCAAGGCATTCTGCAAACGAGCGAAGGTTATCGGTCAAGAAAGGCGATCAACCCTGGCAAATGCGATATAGTAATCTTTTCTTATTCACTTGTGATGGTGGCGAAGAGATGTCTTTAAAATCAATGCATTAATTATCCAAAGGGTCCTAGTACTATATACTAGATACATCATTCTCTTTACCTACTTTTAAAGATACAAAATGTTTGTAGAAGAGTGGC